AAAAAAAAAAAAAAAAAAAAAAAAAAAAAAAAAAAAAAAACAACTAAACCACAAGCAGCACCCACCCCCTCTCCCCCACCAGGGCTGTAGTGCAAGGGGAGAAGAGGAGGGCAGCTTCACCAAGGCCATGGCTTTCTTACTCCTGGCCAAGGGAGCTGGGTGAAGGGCAAGGGCTCCCCGACAGATTGTTGGGGTGGAGGAAACCAAAACAAAACGTCAAATAAATTGTGTAGGAGTCCAGCCCTGCCTGGCCAGAGCCAAGCCAGGCCGGGGGAGGGGGCCTCTGCAGGCTTGAGGATCACTGCTGCTGCCACCACTGCTACCCTGGGTAGGAGAGAGAAACCAGGTAAGACAGGATAATGCCTTCAACATGAAGAAGGGTGGGGAAGACAGGACCAGACTAAGGCCAAAAAATAAGCCTGGAACAACTAGGACTAGAATAACTGTTTGGTGAGGACAACAATGTATGTGAAGAGGGATGGTGAGGAACTTGTCACACGCACCTGGGAGCCAGTTATTTTGCCATGGCCTTGATTGCAACAGCTGCCTCCTCTGTCATGGCAGACAGCACCGTGATCTGGAGAAGCAAGATCAGGAGATGTGTGAGCTCAAAGGAAGAAGCATAAAGAGTAAAGCTGGGGGTGGGGGAGGAGGAAGAAGAAAAAAAACCAAAGCTGAGGGCTGGTTAGCTCAGTTGGTTACAGCATGATACTATTATAACATCAAGATAAAGAGTTCATGACCCCATACCAGCCAGGCACCAAAAGCAAAAAACAGAGCAAAGCTTGAGCACAAAAGTGGGGAGGGAGGGAGCAGCATACCAGGATCTCTTCTCCACAGTCATATTTCTGCTCAATCTCCTTGCCGAGATCTCCCTCAGGCAGACGAAGGTCCTCTCGCACCTCCCCACTGTCTTGGAGCAATGATAGGTATCCATCCTGGATGCCAATCAGCTTGGGGCAGATAAGGAAGAAAGCTGAAGGTAGGCCCAGGTAGGTCAGGGGTAAAGATCTGATGGACAAACTGGGGTGATAGCAAACGACTATACCAAATACTCTCCTGCCGTTTTCCACCTCTCTTCCAGCACAAGCTTTTCTGGTCAATATGAAACACCCCCCCCCCCCCCC